AAATATTGATGTAACAATGGACACGGTTTTGGCGCCTTTTAACGGCGCATATTCCTCCACTTCTGTCAATCTTCGCTTACGTTGTGCTTTATCAAGAAAATCGTAAATGAGAATGATTGTGAATGAAAGAATTCTCCGCAGTATTCACAGAACCACAAAAATAAGTTGTGACTAGCGCATTCTGAAATGTCATAGATCATTCAGGATATAAAGCATTCATTTGCCTGGTTATATATGCCTATCATTAACTATAAATATCGGCAAGAAATTCTCGTGCATTGTTGTCTAAATATTTAACAATTTCAGTTGATGCAATGAGATGTTTACCAGGATGTGACGCAGTCACCACGACTGCCTTCCAATTTACAAGCATATCGAATAAACCTGGTTTTGAGTGAGTTATCAAAGTAGTCCGATGTTTAAAAAAACTGGTAAAAACTTTCCAAAATGCGTCATTTACGCAGACTCACCGCTGGAAAGCGCTGTTCAGTTCGTCGTTGAGTTGGATGAGCGTCAATGTCACCGCATCATCAGCGACTTGAGACAGAAAGTCAGCAACTCTTTGCTGCATCATCCGACAAGTTCCATGTAGGTCCTATAGAAATTGAGTTCAGATCAGGTTGTTTTTGAAAAACCATGAAAATACTACCAAGAGCAAAGTTGTTTTAGTGAGGTGGTTCGCCCGCCATTTTGAATTTGATTGCGCCTTGATCGCGCGACACCTTTTTCGAATGTCACCCACTTAAATCTAGTTTGGTTTCGCGTGCGTGTAATTAATTAGCGTCTGTAAATTAGAAAAAAACACCTACACACTTACTGCTTCAAATATATATTGACTGATATTGAGGAAGCTGGTGCAGCAAGTCAGGGGAAAAAGGAAATGAATTGTTGTTTTGCAGTTGCTATGGCAGGGCTTGAATAAATAACGACACACCGACAAAAGGCCAAAGTAAGAGAACACCTCACCAACTGACAAAAGCAAGAATTGTGCAATAAATTAAACAAGTAAAAGAAATTCCCCAGTGACGGCGCGCCAATTTCAAATAGTGTGTCCATTCAGAGCAGTCAGATTTTCAAACCTATAGGTATTAAATATTAATAAAAAATGAACTGGTTACTTGATTATACTCACCAACAAATTCAGATTGAGACAAATACGTTGAATTTAGTAGGAAGAGTTTACACAATTAGCGATAAATATGCCATTTAGATCCATCACAATGTAGTTTCATTTGGTATCTAGTAGTTGATAATGGCGGGCAGAGGGGTACGTACGTGCGAGAGAGTGGGAATGTGCATGCATCTGCGTTAATTTCTTACCTAGTTGTGTATTTAGGTGTGAATGGAGGCACCTGATCTTCAGTCACACCAAATTAGGCCGATAAAGGCAGTAATGTGATGTTACACCTCGGTGGAATCTCACCAGCTCAACTTCAAGCGTTATAATCTTCTCGTAGTGGTGTCAGAGAGCTGCGTGATATTGCTGGCTTGAAAAATGCATTGTCTACTTCGCCAATTTATAGACCGTAGTGAACTGTGCTTAATCACGTCCACCATGTCTGTCTAGACACCTCATTCCAAACCGCGACGCGTTGTCTTTAATTGATCACACATCGGTTTGAGCAGGTCCTCTCGTAAACTCCAGAATTTACTCGATTCCACAGATCACAGTTTGTCACTTTTGATGAAGCGCTGCTGATAACCACTAAATGAGAGCCTTAGAAACGAACAAAGCAGAAGGGAACCGTACAATCGAAACTTCTGTCAAGTTCCTCAAAGATGCTAATCTCTCAAGGGTGACACCATGCTGCAAAACTGGTGGAGTCGGGAGTAGAACGTGCTTTTTTACTGTTACTTGCTACCACAACTGCTGTGTTCTCTTCAACAAAAGATCACACAAGTTTCGGATTAAATTAGAAAATCGATTAGCTAGACAAGCAGATCCGATGTGGTTGAACAAAGATTTTGTCTAAGGATGAGCATTTTAAGAAAAATGGCCAAATTTTCGCCAGACATTTAGAACGAGTGCTAAGAAATGTCCACAACTGCACATGATAAGACAACCTAGGCTTAAATCTTGTTTTGAAAAGTGCACTAAATTACAGCCTAGTTTAAATGTTTGTTTAAATGTACCACCTGCATCACATTCGCGATATCAGCGAACCAATACGATGAAAGCAAGGAGCCACGACGAGTAAAAACACGGATTGCAGCAACTAAGCATCCTTGTCTGTCTTCTATTTTAGCAGCGACTAGAAAAAAAATACTTGCTTGTCAAGCACCAAAAGGCACGCCAAACATAACCATTTGTCATGACAACGAGAATCGCCAAGTTAAGGTGTTGGCAAAATCGTGCCTGCAGAAGAGCGTTAATATTTTGCCAAAGAGGCTGTGCCCCAACGACGCTGGCGTGTCAGAGTGCGTTGTCATGACTAAGCTTGAGATTTTAAATTTTTGGATTCTGTTGTCGTCTGTTGATGGCCCAATTTTGAGCAGGAGAGAAGAGAAATGAATGCCGCTGCTGCTGCTGCCGCCTTTCACACACAACTGAAAAGTTAGTCGTGTTGTAAGTTGTTTAAGTGAATTGTCTGACCGATGCGTTGGTGGCAGTCTCCAAAAATGACTCATTTGTTGGATCAAAGGATCTTGTAGCCTATCGGAGGCTTGAGCGAGGGAGCTAGGTTCAGCCCATTTCGGTTTGTTTTAATCGCACCTGTAAGAGCTCAAGGTCGTCGGAGGAAATCGCGTCAGGTTGAAGTTCGGTTAGCATGTCGTTGAGGATGTGTAGATTGGTTTGCACGACGGCGAGATCTTGACTGAGACGTTCGCGCTGAGCCGAACTCAGGCGACGTACCGTGCCCTCCTGATCGATGAGGGTCCGATCGCCACCAGAGGTATAAATTCCCGCGGGTACCGAAGCGTGTGATGGCTGCAGATGGGGCTGAGAGCAGCAGCGTTGCTGGTGATGCTGAAGCTGATTGAGAGATGGGTGCGCCGAAGTAGCGATTATAACATCCTGACCTAGAGTCCAAACAATATGCTTGCATGTGAGACAAAATCATTACTTGACATTTTGTGCCTCAAGATCTACCCATCTACCTCCTAGAAAAATCAGTTATGGGTACATCTCACAGAACCTATGGGAAGATTCCAAATTTGTCACTTAGATCGTCGCCATAGAGACGGCCTTGATTGTGCCCAAGGTGTTTTCCAACTCTGGTCCCGACGACTTGAATTAGATAATCCGGCACATTCCTTAGCATACTCCTTTCAGTGAAAGATACGATTTCTAACCAGAGCTGCTGTTGAGATAGTGATAGCACTTTAACTAATCAACATTGTTCTGCGGCCTTCTCAAACAAATTTTTACCATCACTTAAGCTGCCAACACAGAGCCAGAATTTGCAACAAAGCAAGGAGTTTCGACATCGGAGCAAGTCTGAGCTGTCATCATCTTCTAAACCATATATTGTTTTAACGTTGTTAATGGATTACCGCGTTTGTTCAGTGTTCTACCGCCCTGTCAACCCTGCTTTCACACACAGAGAACAAAAGAAACGAAATCCCTGGAGTGAATTGGCTTTTTGATTAATCGCGTGTAAGCAAGAAACAAGGGGACCTACTTCCTCCTCCTATTGGCGAAAATTTTTCGGGACTTATGTTGAGAGAATTTTGCATTCTACGTGGAAATCGCCATGTAGAAAACGCCTAATGCAGTATTTTTTATGTTGGAAACACGAAAGGTCTTGAACGCACCGCTTCTTGTGGCAACCGGGTAACCATTGACCGCGACCACTTGCAGAACCTGTGGAATTGGCTCACCCTGGCGAACGCCCAGCTGGTGACTGCCATCAAGAGCTCGAACTGTCACTAAGAGAGAATCAAAAACAAACCGTTTATTATTTTAGATTGAACGTGAGTACTTTGTTGACACATCAAAGCTACCGTTAGAAGCATTCCTACAAGGATTAGTCTGTGGCAGATTGTACATGGACTGACTAATCGTCCGTTTTCATTGGTCCCGAACACAGCCAATCATCGCTCTCCACGAGTGCTACATAACCATGTCATATGAAGTGAAAATTTGGTATACATTGTTAAATTGAACTAAGGGTAAGTACTTTGTTGACACATCAGCATTACGTTGTTGATGGGAGAGCCCTTTAAAACGTCTCCAGTAAAGATTAGTTTGTGACAGCCAGTCCATCGACTGACTCATCGTCAATTCTCATTGGTCTCTACGCACAACCAATCACATCGGTTTTCAAGTGCTATACAAAGAAGTCATGTCAAGTGGTCGCATCCTCCTTTCGCCATCTGCTTTCTGTTTGAATCTTAACGACCAAAAGAATGGAAATCAATATCGCCTGTTCCACAAGCCCTACAACTCGCTAAACGACAACAACTCAGAAGTGGTAGGTGCGTCATAAAACGACTTCAGGTTGCCATCAACTTCGACTTGTCAATTTCGTCAGGTGCGCTTTTACCTTGTATTTAAGTCAATCAGTGTGGCGAATGAACGCGCCACAATTGAGTCATTGAGGGGTTAAACGAATTGATTCATAAAGAACGACACAAAATAAAGTCGTAACGAATCCACAGTTTCGTCACACCGTCCTTATCCAGTTCACCACCACATTCAGGCTCCAAAAATGGCTTTTTCGGTCGTTAAAGACATAACGATGGTAACTTTGCCATAATCCAGAAACCTGTGTCGTCTTTAATCAAAACTGTGCAATTTGGGTGGGGAAAGCGATGACTCAGATTATACCCCAACTTTGAACAAAAGCTGCCGCGTATCCGGTTTGTATTGCTTTGAGAGAATGATCAACCACACCCCGGAGAATAACTTTATAGCGTTTGCAAAGGCGCACGTTGCTATTTTAAGAGGATTAGGTGAAAAGCGAAAGCAAAAAACTTCCCTTTTTTCTGCGCGAAGACCATGGTAAGGTGACAGGACACTCGACGTTTGGGAAAAAAATGCTGGGAAAAGTTTTTTTGCAGCGCTGATGACTAAACCGGTAGGATTTTGAAAACTCGGTTAATTCAATTTTGCAAAGAAGGACCTGTGCTCTTTCTCCTGTAGAGTTCTTCTTTTTTAACTCCTAAATTAATCAACACATTTTTTCGAGAAATTTAATCGCAGTTTACTTACTGAAAATATAAAACTTCAACCACTCACGTGTGAGTAGAACTCACATCATGCATCGCCGCTAAATATTGTTCGTCTTTTAGGGCTAAAACTCAGTTGTTCACGAATTCTTATTGGTTCATAAACTGTTATTCATCTGTCGATACGTCCAGTCAGATTTTGAATTGGTGAATAACACACAATGGCGCAATGCCATTGGCCCACATAGATTAATACTCTCGGATAGACATTTGACCACAGTAGACCACAATAATTTTCTATTGCCCCATCTTATTATTTTAGTCAAAATATTTCTTAAATTTTAAAGGGTTATAAGGCGGTAGAATACGATTTTGTCGGCGTAATTTCTTTGTATATACGCGGCCTCATTAGCGTCTAGGTGGGCAAATGAAGCGAGTCAGTTGTTTTTTCCGTCAAGTGTGCTCTGGGGAAAGAAAAGAAGCCAGCCGCCTTGAAGAAGTCATCAATTTTTGGAAGGACGAACCCACCCGTTGTAGAGGCCCATTCAACTACCATTCAATAAAGGTCAATACCAATATTTGGTGCAGGAACCACCAGTTCGTATGACAGATCGCTGTCATGCATCAACAACGCATGACCGTATTAAAAGGGAAATCGTTTTCGAAAAGCTCACATGAATGACCCAAGCATTGTCGCAGTCCGAATTTGCTGAACAGAGGGACAAGTGACACCCAAGTGTTTTGTCAAAATATCGTTGAATTTGCATAGATTAACCAGATTAAAGTCGAATTCAACTGTCCACGGGTGATAAACAAGTCGGCTGATTAAAATAAGATCCTTTTGAAGATAAAACAAGACGATGGCAGCGCAACAGTCCTTTTTTGCAAATTCAGACGCGGCCACGGCTCGTTTTTTGGTGCGCTGACACAACTCAGCCAGCGCAACTTGCCACGCGCAAACAACCCACATGGAGTCTTGACAAGCGACGATGTTATCCGCCTTAAATGTCAAGCTGCGATTTAAGAAAATAAATGTGCAGATGACAACGCGAAGGCATTTGCCTTTTCCCTTGTTAAATCTCTAAAACAACTAACATTCGGGAGGAAGGTGGAGGAGGAGGAGTAAGAGGACGACGACGAGGGCAAGAAGATGACAAGACAGATTATGAGTGGGAGAAAAACGAGATTTAGGAGGAAACATAGATGGAGGAGGATGAAAAGAAGGAAAAGAAAAGCCTGAGGATTGATAGAAAGGATGAAGTGGAGGACAAGGAAACGGGTAATAAGTGGAAAACGAGGAGGGGTGATGAGGAGAAGGAGAGAGGTTAGGAAGGGGACACGAAAGGGTAGAAGGGTGGAAGGTTGTTAGGGAGGATTTGAATGAGAGGATGAAGGTTTGATAAAAGAGAATGAGAAGGATAATGAGAAAGGCAAAGAGTCGGATGATGGGATGAGGGAAGAGTCAGGAAGGAGGAAGACGATGTCCCAGCTAAATCAAATCTTCACTTAGCGTGTCTATTTTAATTAACCTTTTTTATGCGCTCATAATTCAAGACCCCCTAATTTCTCTTTATGGTTTTTAAATGGAAAGAGCTCAACTTGGAGTTTCAAGAATAGTGTAACTGGCAACCTGCACGCTCTCGGACTCCTTTTAAGGCCAAAATAGCTAGGATTCAAATTCAAAAGGGTACATCAAACACTGCGAAGTTTGCTTTTTCGAAAAAACAAAGCAACACAACCTGGACTTTCTTTATACTCACATTTTTAAATTCAGTTCAGTTAAACAAAGCGCGCCTTTTTTGATGTCATTAAAAGAATCCGCAGTAAAACCCTTCCTGTTGACATTAATCTAAACCACAAAACGATCCTTAACTATGAAAAAGGCATAATTTGCAAAATACCTAACACTGAAATACACTCAACTTTATTAAAAGCAAGCACAATGTAACTCAAGCGTTTTCGCAACAGATCAGCAGAATCCAAAACGGTAGGAAATTTTGTTCCAATGCATTTCTAAATAAGAGCCAATAGTAGTTTTCGCCTTTGGATCTGAAGATAGATGTTACAAAAAGCACTATGCAGAACGATTAATCAAAGATAATCACATGTTATCACATTACTTGTGTTTACAGAAGTTGTTTTCTGTTATTTCTGAGTCTAAAAATATGCCATTTCCGAGGAAGGTGTGTACATAGTTAGCCATTTGGATATCATCCTTGAATGTGGGACTAGACACCTGCAAACAGGTGCGAAACTATGTCTCTGTCAAGGAAAAGACTCAGAGAGTAATGAGTTATTAACGGAATTAAGGCAATTTAATTAGGAAAACTTGCCATTAGACGGCAATAAAAAATAGGTTGGACCAACATGAAGGCCTCGTAGAAGCTGTAAATTGGCTGTGATAATGCTTTGCGAATTGCTAGTTTACGTAATAACTCAGTTAACGCCAGCCAACTACCTCCGATTAGCTTCACACGTTCGTTCATCTACATTCACACCAATTACACAATTTTGCAGTTTACACCTAAACAACAATCACGCAAATTGGCATCAGTTTTGAGGGCTACATAAGTCCAAAAAGACCGTGAACAACTAAAACGCTCTTCAGGTAACAAGCGTAGATCGTGTCACATTACATTGTCTGGCCAATTGCAATGCCAAATCCTTCACTTGGCTGATCTTGTCACCAACTCTTCGGATT